CAAACGATACTTATTATCTTCTGAGAGATTTTGAGGACCTGCAGGAAAAGGCCCGCCGTCGACACCGAGAAGAGAGCGCACGTTTAGTGGATGAAGACGCGAGCAATACCGACACGACAAGATCGCGAGACTTACGGACGTTTGCTGCAATGGACTACGTGTACATTGAGCCGAATCGCCAGGTCGCGGCCAAAGACTTTTTCTCCCTTGATCTGGTCCACTCAAACGGCCAGCGATTGGAATGCCAGGTTGAATTGGTCCACCGAGACAACGAACACCACCCGGAGGATAAAGGTGATCTCCTAATTCGAGAAACCGGCAATGGTCGCCGCTCTTACCTCCTATTTCCGCCAATTCCCATGGAGATCATCTCGGCGCGAACAGGAGAAGGCAACTTCGACATGGTGGTCATGATTCGCGGAACTCATGATGACCGGCCATGGCATGAACTCCTCACTCTAACCACTGACAGTGAGGATCAGATTCTAGACTGGCTAGACATTCTTCCCGTAGCCCCCGTCCCTCCTCGTGAGCCAGAGCCAAGTGTCTATGAAGATGATGATGAGACCTACGACGTTCCTGTAGGTGTTCGAGGAAGCAGCCGACGTTCACGTCGCAGCTCTCGCTCTCCCCGATCACCTTCTTCCCCCTACCTACCTGAACCTACAAGCCCGCTCACGCCGACTAAACAACCTTTGCCCACTCGCTATCGCCCTCGTTCTTCAACTCCGTCAACACCACCTGCAACCATACCAGAGGACGATGATCTAGAGAGGACACCTACCCAGGATCGTTATGAAGACCAAGAGGAAATGAGCACCCCTCTCAGAGAGAGCATGCGACCTGATCCGTCAATGTTCCAGAAGAGCCCTAATACTACACCTTACCGAAATGACGGAGCTCCTCCTCCTCCCGTTCACAGGACCCTCACCCCTAGCCCCAGCCCCCAGCCTTCGCCAAAGTCGCAGTCTCTCAGCCCTCCGGTTGATCTTACAACCAGTAGCCGCCTCAAGCGCCGAAACTCTTCTCCTCTCAAGCATGAATACCTGCCATCTGAAGGCTCTTCAATTTCTCACACAGAAGGCACCGAGGACGACTATGAAGACTACACTGAAACTGAATCCGATACTGAATCGTCCGACGATGAGATTGAGAGTGTGGATCTCCCTGAAACCGAGCTCGGTGTCAGCATTAAACAAGACCTGTCCCGCCCACGTCCTCTGGTCGAGTCGGTTCTCTCAGAATCAGAGTGCAGCCTTACCCCATCTAACTCTGCTTCTCAAGCCGGTCTCCATGGCGTCAAGGTAGCTCCTGAGGAAAACGCCTCCAGATTTGTTGCTTCCATCTCCAAATGGTCAGATAAGGGGGTATGGAAGGACGTTTCTGCCGCCAATTGCTCCATCATTGTTACACCCGGACTAATCGAGGCTTTCGCTGTCATGCCTCAAGGATCCGACGCGGCCAAGGAGAAACCCGTCGTCGCATTGGATCTTACACCGCTCGTTCTAATCCGACAGAGCACTGCTGTCGATCTTGAGATTCGCTCCTCGGTCAGGTCAGACTGCTTGCTGGCTAAATCCCATAGTGGTGGAAATTTCCGCTTCCGATGCCATAGCAGCTCTGACTGCTTTAACCTTTACATGTCGGTCCACCACTCTCGCCTTAACAATCAGAAATTCATCGAACTTGAGAACGAGGCGAGGTTCAAGAGCTTTGGCGAAAACAAACCCCCTGCCGACAACGATGATACCAGCAGCCACCGCAAAAGCTGGTTCGGCCGCAAGAGCAGCTACAGAAGCTCAGTGCGCGCTCCTACGCAGTCTCATGACGGTGCTAGTACCACACCATCCTCGAGCGCCTCTGCAAAGAGTTTTCTGAAACGACTTACCGGTGGAGCGAACCTACCATTCAACCTTGCCCGCTCCTCTGTGGACAGACAAGGCCGAGGTAGTGGCTATGGCAACGGCGCGTACACTCCTGGATCTTCCTCCAACGGCATGAGCACACCTCGGTCGCCATCCGTCAGCGTTGAGGACAGCACTCGCAGCTCAGGAACCCTTGGACCAGAAAACATTCGCATTCGACTGCACCTTCTCGTATCAACGACAAAATGGGAAGATTTCGGCAACTGCAGCCTCCAGATTCGACGACCACCTCCAGGCTGGCGCCAGGCCCTTCGCGCCAACCACGGACTGGAGAAGCGAGTGACTGTTACGACGCTACCCAAGAAGGACTCAGAAAAGCCCAAAATCCTCCTTGACGCTGTTCTGGGCAGCGGGTGCTTTACACCAATGGGCAGCCGAGGCATCGTGTGTGGTGTCTGGGAAGAGATGAAGGGTGACAATGGCATAGTTGGTGCCATTCCTACCACAGGACCCTCCAACGGAAACGTCAAGAAGTGGTGTTTCCAGTGTTCGAACGTGTCAGAGGCCAGTTGGGTCCTGCGTCTGGTACACCAAGAGGTTTTCACGGCATAGACTGTGACCTCACCTTGCTCCTCGGAGCCTATATTTTGAATGCCTTTCTTGTACTTGTTGATGACCCTCGCATGACATTGGGCTCTGGTACACTTTATTTCCTTGTCTTTTTGTTTCCTTTTCGACTTCTTGATATCCCCTGGTGTCGCATTGTGCACCATTTGTTACGTCCTTTTAGTTTATCTTAGGCTGTGTCTGTATTATTTACGCAGCACAGCTATGAGCGATGCTTTCCTCTTCTCATGTTTTACATTTTCATGCATCAGGCATATCCGGGCATCTAGACTGGCGAGGCGTCCGGCTGGTTGAGTGAAGGGAATGGATGGCGGCGGCGTGCAGTTACAAGGTATTGGCATCCCCCTTGGATGAGGTGGCAAAGTTGATGTTGTTTCTTTGATATACGAAGGGGACGAAGACATATATGAGATGAAAATATATATACTACTGTTGAATGAGCATTTGAAAGTTGCGACGTGTGATGTATAGGCTGACTGATGAATTCATTAGAATGCTGGACAAACAAGTGGCGGCTAATTTTACAAATCTAAAGTATATGTATGAACTATACATAGTATGAACTTGTCTTTGCTGTTGCAGAGGGCGCCAAATTGGAATCGAACAGCAGGAGGTTGGCGAGACTTAGCATCGCCACAGGTTGGGGAGGCCTCGAGTGGTCACGAGGCAGGCTGTGACGAGCAGGACAGCTTGACATAATGAACTGGACATTATTACACGGCGCTGTCCGATATGCTGTTCTATTTAATTAGTCAATGAGGGGTCTGCACCGCCACTGCAAAGAGGCGCAGAGATACCCTGTCCCCCTGTTCGGCATTTCACCCAACCACGTCATACCGTTTGGCCTCGAGCGTCTTATTGAGAGGGGCAAATAAATAGGTGCCCAGCCCAGGCATCTATCTCAAGGCCGAAGACCAAATTTCACAACTCGCACTTCAAACAACTCAATTAAGAGTCTCGACAAGAAACCGACTCTTCTCGATCTACAAAGACAGCTTTCATACGTTTACGACAACTCGCGCCGAAACAACAAGACAGCCTCGATCAAACTAGCAACACCCGAGACCATGTCTCATCACAAGGCCTACGACACAAAGCCGTTTTGGCTCATCCAGCCTCGTCTCGACGCCAATGAATACCGAGACAAACTCATAGGCAGCGTCGTCAAGTATCCCGGGCTTCCAACCGAAAGGCGCATTCCTTACCGGTACAAGAAGCAGCCCCGCGAACTCGTCAGTGACCTCGACCCAAAGCCCATCCAGGTCCGCAACGTCAAGTTCTGGCAGCGCAGGATCAAGGACGCGCGCGTCTCGGCCAGCGTCAACGAGATCCTCGAGGGCTTCGTCGAGCGCGCAAAGGAAGACAGCAACGAGAACACGGCGACGGTCGCGCGCCTGTGGCACATGGACTCGCCCAGCCAGAAGTTCAAGGAGCTGCTCAAGAACAAGCAGTACTTTGAGGAGCTGTTCGACCTACTGCGGGACAACCACGACCAGGGCTACTTCATCACGGAAATCGTCACGCTCGTCAACCTCGAGAGCAGCAGCGAGTCGGGGCGGTCCAAGGGCGCGGGCGCGTCGGCAAAGGTGCCCCTGGATCCCAACACGGGGGTGCGGGTGGGCGCCGGCGGACACGTGGGCGTGATGCACGAGTCCGGGCGGTCGGCGACGTACGAGGAGGAGACGATTGTGTTCCTGGGGTACCGGCTGGTGCGGCTGGAGAAGGTGGACAGCAAGCGGGCGAAGCTGGGCCGCATGTTCCTGGGGCCGAAGCACGGGTTCGCGGTCATGGAGGGGTCGGACTACTGGCCGACCATGGTTGAGAAGCCGGTCGAGGGCAACGCGGAGCCGTTCATGGGGGACCCGCCGAAGCCGCCGGAGCTGAGCGCGGAGGAGATGGAGTTGAATGCGATTATGGTTGAGCTTGGGTTTGACGTGGAGGTTGTTGGGTAGTGAATGGTGGACTTGAGGATTTAATGACGGGCTTTGATGAGATACCAGGATGCCTTGCAAGGCGCGTAGATTGGATATTGGCGCCAGAGATATTGCATGTTTGCCCTGAAAGCGTGTTATGGCTGTTTGGGTTGGGATAGATGGATGATAGGCTTTTCGAATGCTATGTTTTGGCTGAATGCGATCTTTACATGATCAGCTTTCCAAATATAGTTATGATGTCCACAACGCTATGTACCTATATAGAGGGTAAGTAGACTGAATGAATGAACGAAGAGAGTATTATTCCATATCTGTAGATTTATTTGTTTGTGCCTTCTGTAACTGACTGTTCACGACCTCGTGCTGGGAGTAGAAGTGCATGTCCATTCCCTGGGATCTTCTGTCTAAGCCTCTCGCTTCAGTTCCGTCCTGAGGAGAGAAAAGATGCAAAAAGAATGATCGACTGACCATGTCATGTCATGAGATGCATGCACGCATTGATTGCTTGCCTTGTTGAATGGATGATGATGGATGATGCTTGTAATTCAAAAGTTTGCTAGAAACGCAAAAAGAATGGAGATTGGGGGAATTGAACCCCCGACCTTTCGTAGACTTTTGCATTTGAGCCAATGCAAAACGAATGTCATTCCCCTAGACCAAATCCCCAGGTTCTTCGCTGAGAAATGCCAGCCGTAGCTGCCTTATACGAGTGCGTGGTACTTGCCGAGATTGATTTCCCGAGTCATCTCCCAGCAATATGATCTCTTTGTCTTTCATATCTAGATATCTATTATCAGTCACATTGCACTTGGCGAACACGCGAACCATTTGAATTCATCAATATCCATTTGCCAGGTATGGACGCCACATGGTCGCCTGACTCCCATTCCGAGGGCTGACCTCCCCTGGAACCAAGTCAGCATCGCCTTCTGTAGTGCGCTAAGCCTCAGTGAATCATCCGCCAGACGTGGCCGCACTAACAACCAGCCAACGTTTGCCCACCTCACCTCACATGCTTCCTTGTCGCTGCATGTCATCAGTTATCTCAGCGCCTACTTCTCTTCGCGACTTGCGCTTTCCATCTAGACATCTCAACATGACCTTGTTCTCCTCTCCTCAATAGAAAAGAAAGAAGCCGACGACTTCGTCCATGGCGACCGAGGCCCTAGAGCCGCTGAAAGGCCTCCTCCATCGAGTGCGAGGCGCTGTCTCGAGAACGAGGAACGGAGGCGAGACCAACGGCTTGGAAATCGTTCGAGATGTGGAAAATGCCGAGATTGAGTAACGTCTTCAGCCCCCTGGAAGCTATCAGCGGTTGTACTTATTTTTTCATAGCATTGTTGCCGTTCATGGCCTCGGCGGCGAAGGCTTCCGCTCATGGGTCACCTGGGAACCCAAGTCGAAGCCGAAATCATGGCTCGAGGAACTTCTCGCCAAAGACATCCCCAACGCTCGCATCATGACGTATGGATACATCTCAGACGGCGTCAACTATCGCTACCTCGTTCGAAACGTGCTTTATGGTCGTGCTCTCGACATGGTCAAGGCCTTGGCTGCCCAGCGCACCCGTGATGGTTCATCTCACCGGCCGCTCTTCTTCATCGCCCACAGTCTCGGCGGTTGGATTGTCAAGCGCGCGCTCATCATCTCCAGCGAAGCCATGGACACGCACATTAAGAATATCGAGTTGTCTACCTGTGGCGTCGCCTTCTTCGGTACCTTGTCCCCAGGTCGTCCGTCGTCACCATCGCCACTTGCCAGCGTCATCCACCGTACCACATCGGGGCTGGAGAATGACTCACGAAGCACGCGCAGTTTGCGAAGGACTCGGTCGCGAAGTTTCTCGATGCAGCCGCAGCCCAGCGATATGGAGTGGCTAGAGAACCAGATGGAGGCTTTCAAGGCCATCACGGCGAACCTGCCGAGGTTGTCGTTCCATGAGACGAAGCAATCAGGCGATGGCTTCATCGTGGACAAGCGGCATTCGATGCAAGGGTCTGATGGTGTCCAGATCGGACTGACGGCGACGCATTCCGACTTGGTCAAATTTCAAGGACGAGATTCCAACTACAAGACGTTTCTTTCTAGTTTTCGCCAGATGATTGACAAGCATCGAGCCTCAGTGGTCATGCAGACAAAACGCAAGACTTTTGATATGACAGCTGGTAAGCAAGCATTGCTACTCTATTTGGCTAATACTGACATGCCCAGTCCACCACTTGGAGTACCTATCGGCTGGGTTTGGCATCCCTTACAACTTGCCCAACGAACCGAGCTTCGTTGTCCAAAGGGAAGACCTCCTCGAGGGCCTAGAACGGATTTTAAAGCCTGTCACAGAATCTCGCCAGCCGCACTTTGCTATTGCAAACTTGTGGGGGCTCCCAGGGACCGGAAAGACGACGTTGGCTAGGTCTTATGCCGAAAAGCACAAAGACGACGTCTCTTTTGTCTTTTGGATCTGGGCAGAGAGCTGGGAGACAGTCATTGCAAGCTACCTCGAGTTTGCCAACAACTTGGTGATCCATTACAGCCAAAATGCACAAAGAGACCAGATAGAGAACGATCTGGGTCTTACTGGCGTTGAAGATATGCTCCGCGTAAAAAGCATCTTGCAGCTAGATACCGTTCGCGTCAAATCGGTGGTACGGGCCGTTAAGGACTGGCTCCTACGACCGGATAATGACAAATGGCTGCTCATATTCGACAACGTGGAGCCTTCATACGACATATTTGACTTTATTCCTCTGACACTTTCGGGACAAATCATCTTGACGTCCAGGGATAGTAACTGTTGCTCCTGGGGATCCAAGCTTCAAGTCATAAGCATGAGCGATGAGCAGGGAGTGCAGTTGATTCGCTCCGTAGTAGGGGATGTCGCATTGGAAGAACCAGAGCAAGGTATGGATCAGCCGTCTCGCACCGACTAACTTGACGGAGCTAACGGACGATAGCTGAGGCTGCCCTGAAGATTGTCCAGCGTTTACAGCATCACCCTCAGAGCATAGCCATAGCCGCATCAACGATTCGACAGACGGATTCAAATGTCGGTGACTACGAGAGAAAGATGGAGTATAGAGTCCCTTTGCATCTCCTGGGGTCACTACTCGATCAGTCACCTGTGATGGGGTTGATTCTTCGCATAAGTGCGATGCTGTCCTCATCCATCATTCCCGTGGCATTGTTCTATGCCACTTCGCAAATCAAGACGGCCCCAGAACGGTTCATGGGCATCTTTAATGCTATGAAAGGTAAATTCAACGGCTCAACTGCCCAGATACTCAAGATAGCCTTGCTTACAGTTCTATAGCACTCCAAGAGTTGGGCCAGGTCGGCCATATCCGCGATGTTCTTCACTACCTGCTCGAGGAAAACTTCATCCAGGCAGTGTCCCCTTCTGAATCCCCTGATTCCTCACAGTCCTCATCCTCCGCCTCATCTCCCACTTTCAGTTACTTCATGCTCGACACGGCTGCTCGAGATCACGTCCGTGATTCTCTCACGCCGCTTGAAAAAGTAGACAACGCCTGGTTGGCCTGCAACGTGTGCGTCGATGGCATTCGTCAGAAAGAAGTCGACTCCTCCAGGTTGCCCGAGATTCACGACTTTGGGAGGATCATGGCTCCACATGCAAAGACGTGCTACGATGACCTGTCCAGCGTGCTGAAGAAGGCTTCGGAGGATGATGATGCGGTTGCATGGCAAGTCCTTGGAAACGTCTGCATGACGCAGGGTGCACTAGAGCAAGCCATCGGGTGCTTTGAACTGTCCCTTCGAGACACGCACAAGATGGACCTCGTCGAGCGCATACAAACGTCCTTGTCTCTCGCCTCACTTCTTCAGCAAGCCAACGAAATGGAACGCAGCCAGGAAGTTCTTTCCAACATCAAGATGGCTTCCATCGACAGGGTCCTCGGGTTTCGCGTCGCTCTAGCCAAAGCCTCAGCAGCCGCAGCGCAAGGCGAATTCGCCCGCGCGGGAAACCAATACGAAACTCTAGAGCAGCTTCAAGAAGAAGCCCTTGGCCCTACAGATCCCACAACGGTTGGCACTGTTCAGAAACTCGCCACCACCCTCGAGCGTCTTGGGAAGATGGAAGAGGCTCAGGCACTGTATCGCCGTGTCTTCATCTCGTATCAGAACCTCTTTGGTCAGAGCCATCCCATGACACTCGAGGCTCTTGATGATCTTGCGCGGATATCGGAGGAGAGCAACGCCATCGACGAGGCGGAGCTGCTATACTCCCAGTCCGTCGACATCAAGACGCATTCTCTCGGTCCGCAACACCCCAGCACCGCGTACGCCATACAAAAACTCGCCGTCATTGCCGACCTACGGTGTCGTTACGACGACGCTCGCGTCAAGTATCAGCGCGCCCTCGACATCATGGCACCGACGCTCGGGCGTGCTCATCCCGCATACACGACCACCATGGAGAACATGGCCCTCAGCGCGCGTTTTCACGCCGCCTCCCTTGGCGAAGACGTCTATTCGAGTTTTGGCTCTCATCACACGAAGCATGACGACTATGACACTGAAGAAGAAGACGTCTCACCCACCACGGACACGCGCAGTCGCAGTGCGATTCGCCGCGCAGCGTACGACCTCGCCGAATCGTTGTACCGCGACGTACTTAAAATCAAGATTGACGCCAGAGACGTCTACTCTAACGAGCATCTTCTAGCAACAGGGTCAAAGCTACGTGAGATGTACGAAACGGAAGAGTTTTATGCCGATGATCGGGGTGAGAAAGTGGGCGAACTGCTGCAGATGCTGAGGGATGGGGCGAGAGAGGAGGAACAGTAAATATCGGCACGCTTGGGCGTGTACTCGTACATTGGGGCGTGTAATTTGGAGTATGGCCGGTCTGGCCGCCTTTCTTGGATTTGGTTTTAACGGGGTAGCCTTGGAGTTGGGGAGTTTAGGAGATCCTCTTGTGATGGATTTGGCATGAAATGGGATTATGATGTATCAATTCACAATACCCAAACATAAAACGAATCATGCGGCTGAAGACGTCCATCACGCTCATCACATCTCATCACATCTCATCACGTCTCATCACGTCTCATCACACGGCAGAGAAACATGCAGATCATAAACCAAAAACAACGCCGTTGTATTCACCCCAACCCACCCGCCTGGTGAGGAGGGTCAATTTTTCTCCAGTTATCATATCATACACAAAAAGGCAGCCAAAGGCCAATTGCCTTCTCTGCCAAGGACGCATCCATCCAATCGATGACACATTGGCACGTGCCCATCAATAAAGGCAAAAGCATCCCCAATTCTATGGTAGTGTAGCGACCGACTCGCCTTCCCTAACCTGGGACATGAAATACAAGATGAGAAGACCTGACCCAAAAAGAAACAAAGAGAGGCCATGAGAGACTACCGCCACCGTGAAGAGGATATCACACAAGCTGCTGAGGATCCGCAGTCATGACGGTTCCAAAAACCGATTATAGGTTAGTCGTTGGGTATATGAATGGACGTAAGAGTGTGTGAGGAACTATGCTGGAGCCGGAGGCTTCTGAGCTGGAGGAATGTCGGCTGCTGGGGGTTTCTCGCCCTGTTCCGCCGTTTTTGGAAGGGGAAGAGCCTTGGGCTTTCCGCCGTCAACAATGATTTGCTCGTCGATTCGAGCAGCAGTGTCGCCGTACTCAAGA